GGGGGTTTCCCCCCCCCCCCCTTTTTGCCCCCCTTTGCGGGGGGGGGGATTTTTGTGGGTCTTTTTCCCCCCCCCCCTGCCCGGGCACCCCCTTATTGCCTGGGGGATCCCCCCCCCCCTGGGCCGCCGCCCCCCCCATTCCTCCCGCGGTTACCCCCCCCCCCCCCCCCCCCCCTTCCTCTACCCCTACTCCCCGATCTATTGTTGCCGCCGCCACCGCGGCCGCCTCCGCCGCCTGGCCCGCCTCCCCGCCCGCCTCCTCTCCCGCGGCCGCCGCCACCACCGGCAGAAGAAGCTTGCTCTTGGGCGTCTTTCTCTTCCGCCTCGTCTCCTTCTTGTTCTCTGTGGCTTCTCGCTCGCCAACCCCCACCTTTAGGAGCGGCGACACTGCGGAGAGAGAGCGTCAAGAGATCCAAGTGGGGGGGAGGGGGGGGGGGTTAGGGGGTGCACTCGTGTGGGTATGTACAGCATAAGCAACCTTCTCTGTTCAGTTTTTTATCTGGGACCGGTCCGCCGATCGGCCGACCGATGAGGCAAAAAGCCAAAACCTTGCGCGTGCGTACCGTCTTCTTGCTAGGCATTGTCTTCGGCTCGACAGGAAAGCAGCTAAGAGCCGATCCATTCGTGTGGTGAGGCTCACCGGCGGGCATCGTGTGGCCGGAACAAGTCCTGGTGGCTGGTTGTTGCAATTTCAAAAACAAACTATGGTACATAGTAGGTGTGACAGCGGCAACGCCTACTACAGGTTCCCATTCCACCTCTCCACCCGACAGCGCGCGACAGGAAAAGGCAAGCAGGCGTCCCCGCCCAACACACCACGACCCGCCTACGCCGGTAAACAAATAGCCGCGTCATCGCGCTGTAATACCAAACAGAGAAGTGATGGCAAAAAAAAAAAAAAAACTCGGGCGCATGGAAATACGAGCGTTGTTTGATTCTACCTGGGAACCGGTGACTAACCTGAGGTTGGTGTTCTTATTGTTCTCCCACCAGGCGTCGTCCTCCTCCTCTTGCCGAACCAGCTGGTTGACCCTTCGCACCGTCTCGAAGTCGGACCCGCGGCCGCCGCCGCCGCCCACATCGACCTCGCGGTCATCATACTGCAGAGGAATAGCAGCACCAGCGGCAGTAGCAGCAGCAGCAGCAGCAGCATGGTGCGAAAAACGAAAGGGAGAGTTTTGGGAAATAAATGATTGCCGGAAAAAAACAAGTGCAAAGTATGAGAGTTTCGGAAAAGAAACGTGTGCAAACCTACCGCCCTGCTTTTCAGCGTTTCTCAGCAATCACACGAAGGAGGAGCGTGACCACATAGAAACAAGCACCGCGGCACGGCACACTATGGGAAGAAGAATAGAACAGGAGGCTTCTCCCCCGCAGACACGGTGAGACGGAAGCCCATATCCACAGCTGGGAAAAAGCATCAACCAAAACACCACGCCGACACCCCTGCAACAAACGAGTCGTCTCTCCCCACCCACACATGTCGTCCGAAAACACCAACGAACAACACCAGGACAGAGAGAGAAGCACAACAACAACACCATCAGCGCACGGGCTGGTGACGCAACGCGAAGCCACCACCAACATGCCTGGTCGTCGTAGTCGTCGTCGTACTCCCTGGAGAGGAGGTAAGCATCATCCTCTTGCCGCTTCTCCATGGCGATGAGCCGCCTCGCCTCCGTGGCCGCGAGGTCCTTGTCCACGCGGTAGGCCTTGTCCAGGTCTCCCTTCTTGCCCTGGAAAAAAAAAGCGGCGGAACGGAGGCGGGGGAGCTGTGAGAAGGAAAAAAACAGAAGGAAAAAAAACGAACGGGTCTTGGATTGTGCATGTATGTCTACAAAAAAAAAAAAAAAGGAAACTCCCCTGGCTAGTACGCGAAGAAAATCGGACAACACGTCAATAGTTTCGCCGCCTGTTTGGTCAACAGAGGAATGGAATCGAGCAGCATGCTAGGCAAAGGCAAAGGACTCATGCGTTTTCATGCGTGTGGCGTCTGCTCTCTTGTGCCTTGTTGCATGAAAAAAGAAGCCCAACCACGGTAGACGACCAATGGACACAAGCGTGGGGATTGCTTGATTTTGTACGGAAAGTTCAAGCCTGGGCGGGACGGATCCTTCCAAAACATGAGGTGTTATCAAGAGCCCCAGCCGCGGCAGTCCCTCCCCCTCAAAAGGCCACGCTCACAACGGAGGCACAGCGAAGCCCAACAGCCGGGGAGTTGTACGGTTTTCCATTCACTCCTTTGCAACTGCAGTTTCAACGTGATGCCATGGTGTTTACACAGCAAAAAGAGCAAAAAAGAGGGTGCACAGCAGCAGCAGCAGCAGCAGAAGCCCAGGGCAAGGTGCGTCTCCAACCATGAAAAAACTTTACATACACCGGTCAACCCAAGCAGGGTGCGGCTTCCTACTTTTATCACCTTCCACGCCCGCCGCAGCCCGCGGTTAAGGTTGGCAACTTGCGGTGGCAACCGGTCCTCTAGAACGGCGTCGATCACTCCCTGGGAAAGGCGTACAACGAGCACACGCGCGAAAGAAATAAAACAAAAAAAACGCTTCGTGCAAGGGTGCGATCCTGAGCGGGCTCACGAAAGTACGGCAGTGTCGTCACAGGGGGTGATGCATGATGAAAAATAGAAAGCTCGAAAAGCCCGACCACTGCCGGCCGTGACGTCTATCAAGCTCGAACAGCCCACACGCTCGACGTTTGTTTAGACTCCAAGAGCCCAGCAAAACCACATCGAACGAAAACAAAAAAAAAATTACTACGAATCTGTCGTATGCAGTCTTCCATGGTCAAGCGCCGGTCCACCAACGACGCGCGTGTAGCTTGTCGGACGCGATCGCTAATCCTGTGCTCCCTGCCTCCCCACCCCCCCTTTCTTAACACACACCTAGATCATGGCCTTTAGAATAACGGACGTCTAGTCATTGGTCAGCCGGTTAGCGCGGTCGATGCACAGTACAAAAAACACACGAATGCTCAGTGCATTGAGCATTTTTCAAACAATTCGACCCCCCTTCCGGGGACGTTCATCATACCAATTGGCACTGACGTCTTCTCTTTGATCAGCCGTTTAGCGCGGTCGACGCTAACACAATAAACACAAAACACACCTGCGGCGACCACCCGAGCACCGACAGGCACGCCTCCACAAACCCTTCCCCGAGCCCGCCGGGCTCCTCCGTGCCCCCCAGCACAGCCTGCACGCCCTTCACCATCTCCTCCAGCTCCTCCGGGTCGCGAGGGGGTATCCCCCCACTCCCGCCCCCCC